ATAATCAAGAAGCTTTCAATCAACTTGAGATCCCGATCAGCATCTTTATTGTAAGGGACAATAATTCCTGAATGGTTGAGTGGCTTTGCAGTTATTGTCTGTGCAATGCCTGTAGAATGTCATACTGCAACATAGTTCATGAATAATAATATAATACTTCAAATACTCCATATTTCAAAATTTTTTTCACATTAAATAATGCAACAAACAGTCTATATATAAATAAATTATAATGCATAATGTCTTATATAACTCCTCATTTCAAACCTAACAAACAAGTCTATATCTATACACAAGGCAATCTGAACATACAATACCATGTAAAACGCATGCAAAATACATAAATCAGAAGTTTTTAAGAGTAAAGCATGCATATAATGTTTTCAAATCCCACAAATGTGCACTACTGTACCTGTTTGTCAACATTCGTTGCATTTCAAAACCTGACAACTTTCCTTAAAGGCATGTATGAGCCGTGATAGATGACAGACATGAACTCTGACGAACTTAACAAAGGAAATCAAATGCAGAAAAACACGCTAATAATATATGTAAATAGTAATGTGGGGGTTTAAAGTATATTATATAAATAACTAAAATAATAATAATAATAATAATATATTATATATAACTACAATGTCACATTATTCAGTTGGATGTTCCAATTTAAAACTGTTTTGTGTGCATTTTACATAAATTTGATTACACCTCTCATATTGCGATTTATATTATATTAACTTGTAAAAGATAATGATTTCTTAAAACATTTTGTCACACATCTACTCTAATAGTTACAATTGCTTTGGCATTAATGCACACTGGAAAAACTTACATGCAGAAATCACTAGTGAAATTCCTATTTAATTCAAATGGAAGAATATGAAAAAAAATTCTGTGTAAGGTTTACATAACTGGAAAGACTGAAATATTGCTTTATTGTTAAACATGAAATCTTCATTGTTCTTTTATTTGATATGCTGTAATACTAATGAAGTACTTAGAACAACTAGCCACAATAAAATTCATATGAATAAACAAGGAAGAGTAACTTAAACCACAATCATGAACTGAATGAGGAAAAGATGAATTAGATATTCCGTGTCAGTGCTTTCCCAGTAATCTTCAAAAAAAATAAAAAATAAATAAAAAAGCGAATTTGCATGTTAAAAGTTCCCCTGAAAATTGTTGAACTACTCATGTGCCACAAAAAACACTTCACAGTTCAACACAAACATTTTAAAACCAGAATGGAGAAAGTGCACAAATACAGAAACAACAAACACAAATCATAGTACAGTATGATCAAACTTTCTGATGAAACACTTCTGGAGTAAAATCTGCTACTTTTGATGCAAAGCATTTAATCATTCTGCATAAACAATTCAGATTAAACTGATTTCTAAACAAATCCAACTTAACTGATGTTATTTTATTTACATGTTCTGCATAAATTTGTCCATAGCCTGCACAGTGTTATTTACATTGATGTTGATTATCAGTTTAATAACTTGTTGCCTTATTACACTATAAATGTTTTTCATGAATGAACATTTCATCTTATGCCAAATATATATATATATATATATATATATATATATATATATATATATATATATATATATATATATATATATATATATATATATATATATATATATATATATATATATATATATATATATATATCACTTGACCAAAGAACTGTTCATGCATGTTTTTTATTTAGTTTTAATTAATACAAAGACTCAAGTTTAATACAGTGAGTTTTCCACGTTATACCAAAACTAAATGTATCACTATAACCCACAGCCACACACACATAACCATTTTTCCTAGTGGTAGAGCTTAAATCTCATTAATCTCTTAAATATCACTCTGAATAAAGAAGTTGGTTAGTTTATAGACTAAGATACACTAAACACTGAAAATTAGCTCAAGACTGCAGGCAAATAAAAGTGCAGTTTTACTGTAATTTACTGACAATGTGCAAATTAAATGTGCAACAGCTTGTTTTCATAATGACTCCATGAAACCACCAAGCAGACTGTTGGGTGTGTAAGGGCATTTCGGTCATCATACAGTAAACATCAGTCATCTTCTCATCAGTGACATGCATCTAAACAGTTGCTGGGTCAATGCGTGTAAAGATTTTGGACATCTTTTTGGACACTTTTAATGCTTCCAAACAGTTTGCAGCAAGTATAAATCACCCATGTCTTGAGGTTGTTCATTATGATGTGATTTACTTTCTATGTGTGATTTGATTTCTACAGGAAACACAGGACTGATTTTTTAATTTAATTACTTTAATTTAAAAAAAAATTATAATAATAAAGTATTGACTGCAGGTTGAAGGAACGTAGCGGAGTGAAAGTACCAATACTCCACTAAAGATGTACTTAAGGGAAAGTAAAAGTTAACATTATTAAAACTACTTAGTAAATTACATTTCCTGAGAAAAACTACTCAGTTACATTAATTTGGGTATTAAATTTGTTACTTTACACCACTGTGTTTTACACTATGATACTGTACATTGTTGCTGTTCCACTGAATTTAAAGGCAGCAGTAGAACTGCAGACATGCACAGCGTTGTCTTTTTCATGTTCTTTGATATTATGCTGTGCTTAAAAATTTTGCCATAATGAGACATTTGTTGAGACTATTCATTAATATTTTCAAGCTTGTATTGCCCCCGCAGGAATGAGAGTGGAGTTCCTAGCCATATAGGCCAAGAAAATACAAGTGGTGCTCGCTGCAGAGCCATTTGGGCGAGCTGAGCTCCAGCGAGGGGGAGCTTGAGCTTCAGCTCCACCTTTTTTGCACTTCTTCTACGAGTGAAGTCACTGGGGGTAGGGTTAGGGGTGGGGTTGGTGTACGCATTAAAACAGCTTACAGGAGGCAGAGCGAGAGCTCATGCTCCCCCTCGCTGGAGCTCAGCTCTGCTCAAATGGCTCTGCAGCGAGCACCCTCTCAGAAAATAGCCACTTTTAAATTTCTGTTGGTCTTAGTACAAGATGTAACTACAGAATAGTCAAGCTTAAAATAGGAAAACGATTGAAACTCTTTGGTCATGTTTGAGTGAGATGCTAATGGTCTAATTTGATTCAGTGATCTGAAGTTAAAAGTGCTCACACCAGACCCGGAGATCAGTTGAATGTATTAAAAATGGTAGAAGTCTACTGTTTAATTTTACGATAGTCGTACAATGAGCCTGTTTTCAAAAATAAATTAAAAATAAAATGTGGAGTGTTCCATTTGTGCAGCAAAATGTGGACAACCCCAACTGCTGGGTTGTTTTAAAAAGATGTTTATGACTTAAAAATAATCAATTATTTTAATTATAAAATAATTTGTATTTATAAACAACTATTATTCATTTATTGGTTTGTTCATATTGTACCCAAAATTCGGCTGAAACAACCCAGAGTCTTGCTCTGTCCCCCAATAATGAAGGCAGGCAGTGAAACATGTCAAGAAGAGCACCTACAATAAGTGCTGGCAGAAATGACTTTAATGAGCAAACAAAGAGGACGTACTTTAGAAAACATTACATTCAAATAACAACTGGCAGCAAACAGATGAAACATTGGGGAATTTATACAAGAGAATAATCAATTAATTATTACAGGGTTCATACACATTTTTACTACCACAATTCCATGATTTTTCCAAGACTTTCAAGTAAATTGTCTTGACCTAATGTTAGATGTAATGTCTTTGTATATGTGGTAAATAAGAAAAACCATGCATATTCAAATTTATTACAGCATATCGTAAAGCATGTAACAATTATTCATTCATTTAGTCTTTTAGTCATTTATTCTTAAGACTTAGTCCCTGATTTATCAGGGGTCGCCACAGTGGAATGAACTGCCAACTGCTTAGTTTAAATTTATATTTATATCTATAAAATTTGTTTATGTAACGCACTAATGTAAGACCATGGGATTGGTCATGGACAGAAAAGACAACTAACCTATATTCAAGTATACAGATATTTGTCAAACAAATTTTCAGGATTTTCCAAAACGTCATGGGTTTTACTGTTTTTTCCAAAACTTGTCCAGGCCTGGAAATTGTCATGCCAAAATTCCATGACTTTTCCAGGTTTTCCATGACAGTATGAACCCTGTTATTATGAAGACACACACACACAAAAAAAAAAAAAAAAAAAAAAAACAGACAGTCCCATATAAGTTGAATTAATGCACTAGTCTAAGCTGAAAGGACCTGTGATTCGTTCACCTTTCGAGCCTTCTGGTTTTTGAGTCGTTCGTTCATCATATCCTCTTAAAACCCAACACATTTTTTTCTTTTTTTTCTTTCTCTCTTTTTTCCTGTGATTTCCTACATCCTTTGGGGTAAACTTCTACAATTTAGAGTTTTTACATTTTTACTCTTTGCATTGACTCAACTTATATGGGACTCTCTGTGTCACAAGAATGAACGACTCAAATTTGATGTCAGAAGAGGTGAGCTCAGCTAATCATAGACAAAAAAACTCAGGTTGTTTCTAGTGTGGTTAACGTTTGTGCTAGTTGTAGATGTGTTTGCAAGCAAATTGAAAAAAAGATTTGTTTATATCGATGAACGTGACTCAAAGCTCAGAGTCAGTAAAATGATCGTAACTTCCCATCATTAGTAGTTCCGCCCATTCTGTCATCGCTGAGGCCAGCTTCCAGCCTCCACCGATGAGATTGCAGCTCTGCACAAGACTTTTGGCCAGCGGAGAAATTAAAATGGTCGTGCCCAACTGAGTCTGGTTCTCTCAAGGTTTTTTTTCTTCACTCTCCTATCGGTGAAGTTTTTTTTCCTCTCTGCTGTCGCCACTGGCTTGCATAGTTCAGGATCTGTAGAGCTACGCATCAATGAGTTTGCTCTTCAGTGTTTGAACTCTCAGTAATGATTTTAAATCACACTGAACTGAGCTAAACTGAACTGAACTTAAACACTAAAAACTAAAATACCCTGATCCAGTTACTATGACCATTTATGTGAAGCTGCTTTGACACAATCTACATTGTAAAAGTGCTATACAAATAAAGCTGAATTGAATGTTGGCGTTGTCGTGCCAACTTTCTACACAGAAGCTCGCAATGCTATTCGAGCCACGGATTGGTCCACTGCTCTGGAACTGACAGTAATGAGCGCTGCTGCAGGTTGAAACTGTTTTATCTTGACATGCCTTTTAAAAAAGCGCAGTGCTCATGTGCGAGGAGCTGCAGAAGACGCAAGTCATGCACATCTGTCAACAGTGTTTACGTAAAAAAAACTACGAAAATATAAGATTCTGTCTCATTTCACACACACATGAGTTCTTTCTCTACACACACGCACAAGACTGAACAGTTGTAGTCCACTGCACCCGCTGTTATGGATGGACAAAGCGGAGATATCTTCATTAAAAGAGATTTCAGTTTTGAAGCTTACTGAATCCTGCACAGTTATTGTTTTTCTGTCGTTTTAGGAAAGGGCTGAACTTTGAATTTTTGAAAGATTATAACACAGTTTCCTAATCATAAAGGTTTATTTTTCATTATTCTATTTATTTTGTACTTTTGCATCACAGGAAGTACTCTAGCTGATTGCGATAAAACACATCTGCCTGTTAAAAATAAACACAGAACAGATTTTTTTTTTTTTGTTACTGCATTATCCCTGCTGTACCGCACATGTACCGAACAGTGACCTCAAAACCGAGGTACGTACCAAACTGTGACTAATCTGTACTGTTAAACCCCTAACAATGTTACATCTTTTTAAATTGTTAGACCTTTAAATAATAAGGTTTGGGACAATGATTTTTACAATGCTTTCATAATATTCTTTACTTGAAGAAAACCAATAATAATTTACTGTAATTTTTGCAGGCTTCTTAAACCCAGCTGTACGCTGGTTGGGAGAGAGTAAGAGACCAGCTGCTGTTTCACCTGACAAAAAGATTAACAAACAGATGAAAGTCAGCATTAGTTATGTAATAGCATTGTACTGTAGTTTGTATAAACTACAGTACTACATGTGTATCTGACTTACTTGCTGTAAAATTAACTTGAGGTTGGCACTGTCAGTGAGATCCAGATGTGTAGTAAACGTCACTTTAAGTCCAACAACTAAGGGGAAAGAAAAGAGCATATGTTTTTCTAAATATTACACACACACACATACATACACAGCAACAAACAAGCTCAATGCAGCAGCTGTCTCATTCACACACATACACGTGCTCGCTCGCTCGGGAGTTGGGAGCAATATTGTTAGGCCGCCCACTCCCGTCCAAAATTAAACCAGTTACTGATCTGTCCCGCGCTTTATTCTGAAATTTATTCTACTTCATACCTTTTCGCTACCCTAAAACCCATTCATAACTGTAAATTATTCCCAAAATCAGAGGGGGAAAATAGCTGGATAACAATCACATAGAAGTGAATAAACCTAGCCGCAAGCCTAAACTTAACCTAAACGGTACACATATCTCTTATTTCTAATAGACTGATTGGAATTTTGTTCCAGAATCAACACAGATGTTTAACCAGGAACATGTCCTACTTGGTGAAATCAGTATGTTACTCATGTGAAATGCACCAATAGCAAAGCATAACAATTCAATTAATAATTCAAAGGTTATAATTACCTGCCAGTATTGGTGGTGCAGATGTTGTTGGTGGTGCGGATGTTGTTGTCGTTGCAAGTGTTGATGTTGGTGCAGTTGTTGTTGTGGTTTCAGGTGTTGTTGTCATCTCTGGTGTTGATGTTAGTGCAGTTGTTGTCGTCGTCTCAGGTGTTGATGTTAGTGCAGTTGTTGTCGTCTCAGGTGTTGATGTTAGTGCAGTTGTTTTTGTCATCTCTGGTGTTGATGTTAGTGCAGTTGTTGTTGTCGTCTCAGGTGTTGATGTTAGTGCAGTTGTTGTTGTCGTCGTCTCGGGTGATGATATTAGTGCAGTTGTTGTCGTCTCAGGTGTTGATGTTAGTACAGTTGTTGTCGTCGTCTCAGGTGTTGGTGTTAGTGCAGTTGTTGTTGTCATCTCTGGTGTTGATGTTAGTGCAGTTGTTGTTGTCATCTCTGGTGTTGATGTTAGTGCAGTTGTTGTTGTCATCTCTGGTGTTGATGTTAGAGCAGTTGTTGTTGTGGTCTCAATTGTTGATGTCGGTGCTGGTGTTGTTGTCACTGCAGAGGTTATTATGAAATCTCAATTTTTTTGTCACAGTACAATATGCAGTGCAAAGCTTATAGAAAGGAGGTCAGAGCAGTCATGTCAGCAGCCGACCTCAACAGCGCCATCTAGATTGTTGCATATTATCAGTGCTTTTTGTCATTGTTTGCAGATTTCAGTCCAGATGTTGTTAATAGCTTAACCTTAGCAAATACTTGGTAAAATGGAAACTTACTTTCTCAAAAACTAAAATAAATAGGTATCTGACAGGCTAATATCCAGAAGCTATATGCAATATTTTTTATTGAAAATTACCTTGTCTAATTTTAAAGGAGCTGTATGTAAGTTTTTGACTCTTCTAAAGAATAAAAATATCATAATATGTTTGCACATATTTTAGAGACATGCTAAGTGAACATTCTTGTTTATCTGAAAAACAATGCTGAAGTCAGATATTCTGCTTTGAAAGTGTGTTTTCCATCCTGGAACTCTTTTTTGGATCTTTTTTGTTTTTGGTCCTTTTAACCTACCCAATGCCAGTTTAGTCCATTATATTTCAGCACTTGGGGTTGCCTTGGTGGAAAACCGCATATTTAATTCACTCATTCATCAGAAAGACTCTGATAGCATGCGTCTGTGATTGAAATGGGACCTCTGGTGGACAGTATCATATGAATTCCGAAATGAGACAGATTCAGTTCCACATAAGGTTATTATTTGGCAAATTATAAATATTACGAGGGTAAACATTAGATGAGCAGGTTGCATTGTAACTGCGTGTCCTAACAACACGATACAAGATGAGATATTGTATGTAGTGATGAGCAATTTGGCTGTTTGCTCAAGACGAAACACGACAGAAATTTAAATACAGCTATTCAGAAGCACAGAATATGCACTAACTCATGAAATGGTGAGGTTTATAATGCATTTAATACATATTAACCCTCTTCAACATTATTAAATGCAGATGCTGAATCACTGATATGGATTTAGTTCTAACAGTTTAAATTCAAACAGTTTATTTTACTTTCAAGATCTGAGGTGAACTGTCTGCTGCTGCTTGCAGTATAAAGGCGCTTACGTTTTCTTTCAATGTTTAATGCCTTGTGACTAAATACAGGGGGCCAATGTGATCATGCACACCAACGCACAAAGCAGCAGGTGTAAAAGCACCATTTTTTTAAGAAACGCCTCATGCTCTACTTTTATTTATTTATTTATTTTTTTGATGTGCCACATCACAACCTTCTCCACCTATCAGGTTAGCACTTTTGTTCACGTGCACGAAGCTGCTGAAGTTACCGTAAATGAAGTTTCACAAACTAATTTCGAGAGGAGCACGTGATATGATTGACTGCAGCTGGCCACTCATCTACACTCATTGGCTAGCCAATCGGATTGATCCAAACTCACTATAAATAACCTAGCTAAGATCTACTCCCTTATCTTCGTTTTCCGAAGAAACCCCCCATCCACCCCTTCTCCTCCTTTCCTCTTTTGCCGAGGGGAGCTCTCGAGAACACCTGACCTCGTACTCCCCTCACATGCTTTATGGACCTGACGGGAGCCCTGGGCTCAACTATCTCCGATCTCAGGGTTCTCTCCCGTGACAGCATGCCAAACCTGCTAACTTGCTAACAAGTTGTCAAACAGTATCTAAGTGGGAACTCTTGAAACTGAACTTGGAGGCTCTATAGCGCAAAACTGTCAATGCGAGAGCACTGTTACAAGCGGGTGTCAGAAGCTTAAAGTTTTGTAGTGCCATCCAACGTCAAGGAGTGATTTTGCATACTCTTCTACTCTATGCCAGTAAAAATCGATTGGGTTTGAATTTGGAAAAACATCGAGAAAACGCTGACGATAAACACAAAGTGTCGAAAAGTGTCCCGTGTGTACAAGCCTTAAAGAAAATAAATGTCTTTCAAACTCACATTGTGAGCATTTAGCACTGAATAAAGCACATAAAGTTTACCTGAGGTGATCATTGTCAGTTTTCTGTTGTTCACCTGTGAGAAATAGAAGCCGTTTCTCACATATCAGTTTGAAGTGTTTGTAACCCAGATCATAAATCTAGGTCACTAATAATAATTTTAGAAAGTATTATTATTATTATTTATTTATATTATTTTATTATTTATACTCTAATAATAAGTGAATAAAAAGCAGAAAGATCGCTGTGTAATTAAAGGTATTAACAAATATTTTCATACCTGATCTTGATTGGAGAAGTGAGCAGTTAGCTCCGCCCCCGCACATGCGACGGAAAGCACAAGCAGATAGTGCCAAAAAGCAAACAAGAGCTAGAGAAGTAGCAAGTTGACAAGCAACCGAGAGAACTAGAGATATAGTGCTAACAAACAACCGAGAACTAGAGAGATATTAAGTTAACAAGCAGTGAGAGCTGGAGAGCTAACGAGCACACGAGAGCTAACGAGCACACGAGAGCTAACGAGCACACGAGAGCTGGAGAGCTAACGAGCACACGAGAGCTAACGAGCACACGAGAGCTGGAGAGCTAACGAGCACAGGAGAGCTAACGAGCACATGAGAGCTGGAGAGCTAACGAGCAGTCGAGAGCTAGTGATCTAACAACCAGTTGAGAGATAGTACATCAATAGAAAACTGACAAAATAGACTTGATTCAACTTTATCCTTCACTAATTACTGTCTTTGGTGAGTACCAATGCCTTTATGAGAAATTTATTAATATTTTATTGTGAATATGTTGGGTTGTAAAGTGAAACAGTAGTAAAAAACCAAAGTTCTTGTAAATGTTTTCAAAATTACTCTTAAAATTGCTTTTAAAAGAATCCCACATAATATTTCTAGTGTTTATAATTGTGTTTACATCTCTGTAAAATATTTTGTATTGAAAGTACTCATTTCTTAAAGAGACATGCACGCCATGCGGTGCTAGCCTTGCTAACACTGTGCATTAGCAGTGTGATTAGCTGTTATGTTTTATCAATGTACAATTGATTGTAACAGACAATTTATTTTCATTTTAACTGGTTTATTTAGATACTTGACACTAATGTTTATTCTGGCTTTGTTGTTACAAGGCTGGGTTTTTTTTGTATGTGTTTTTTGTCCTCCTCACTACTGCCGGTGTTGTTCTTGATTGAGAACGATCATCCTGAGATCGTCCTGGCTGAATATTCATATTCTGGTCTGGACTGGCGAGCCATCCTACTGATACGTGCCTGAACTAAGTAAAAGAGAGTGAAATCTGCTGATCTGGTAGGACCAAACTAATTTGTTAAGAGAGTTTTTTTTTCTCTCCTCGTGTTTTCTACAAGGATATTTTTCATGGGAACAATTTAAATATTTTTTTCCTTGGACTGTTTTTTTTTTCCTTCATCCAAATTTTTGAAAGGAGACATTTAACTGGACACTTTGACTTCAAACAAAGACTTTATATTGAAAGTTCATCTTTACTTTTAACAAAGACTCTGCTTTTGAAATTTGAAATTTAGGGATTGTTTGGAACTTTGAAACTGAACTTTGCATTTATTTTAATAGCAGTTTGTTGTTGAATTTACTATTCACATTTTCTATTGTATTATACTGTTTTATATTGGTTTTATTTGTTTTCTTTTAAAATCTCAAAAGTGCATTAAGCAAAACAATACAACATATTTTGCATTAATTTATTTGTTGTGAATTATATGATTCATTTATTAATCCTAAAATTAGATTACACTATTATCACTATAAGTATTGTTCTTTTGCTCCAGTGAGTCGAATCTTACCTTTAAACTCTGGTCCAAAAAGAATTCTAATAGTTAGCGTTGGTCTCCGTTATAAAAATACACTAGTTAACATATATAATAGGAGCCACACAAGGGTAGTGTTACATAAAACGTGGCGAGCCAGCCAGGAGCAAAATATACAGCTTAGTGTAATAGTTATAAATCAGATAAACACAATAAGGATAAAACAATTGCGTAAAAATTAGTCCCCCTTCCCTGTGCAGATATTCAACCATGGAAATAGTGAAACACGAGAATGTTAACATCAAGAGGGCAGTCATTGTGAGTGGCTTAACCCATTCTGATCCAGACCAAGAAGTGGAAACCTGCTTAGTCAAATATGGATCTATAAAGCGCAACCTAATTATTGATGATCCCAACTCTGAGTATCACCAATGTGCCATTGTGGAGTTCTCTTGTGATTCTGCTATGCAGCACTTGGAGGGTTTATTGCCTATGACCATCAAAAGTAAGTTAGACACTAATGTGGCCTTTCATGTGCGCAGCTTGGAGAGTGTGTACATGCCTGCAACACATAGCAATGTTACTGAGGCATACTTTGAGAATCTGCAAGCCCTTGCTCAAGACAGTGGAAGGACTCTGCGGGAAGTACTTCACAGTGAGCTGCAAAAAATTTCAGAATTGATGTTTCCAGAAAGTGAATCCTCAAGACCTGAGCCTGAGTTGGAACAGTTTGTGTATGACAGCAGTACAAGAGAACCTAAAAACCCTGCCAATGACAGCACACCAGCACAGTCATCATGTTCTGCTAGAAGTCCTGATGCCAGTGTTGCTGAGACCATTTCCTTTAACATACCTACCAGTGCTTTGAATCCACCTGCAATACAACGAGTAGTGATGGAGCATGTAGTAAAGACCAGTGATCCAGTGCCATCTTCTCATGTGGCTTTTCGTCTAAAAATATTCTCCGGAAAAATTCCTCGCCCCAGCCATGAACCAGATTTTGACACTTGGCGTGGAAGTGTGGATTTCCTATTAAATGACAAGTCATTTTCTGATTTATATAAAACTGGGAAGATCCTTGACAGTTTGCTACCTCCAGCTTCAGATATTGTCAGACATGTCAGTCCAAATGCCCCACCGTCGCAATGCTTGGAGCTGTTGGATTCTGTTTATGGCTCCGTGGAGGATGGAGATGAACTTTTTGCAAAGTTCATTGGTGTTCTTCAAAATCAAGGTGAAAAACCTTCCACCTACCTTCACAGACTACATGTGTTGTTGAGTACTGCCATTAGAAG